CAGGAATGCTGCTAACCCCGCAGTGCATGGATGGTCCCATTGCAAGGAGGAGGCGCCCCAGGCACGCCCCTCACCTGCTTACCTCTGATGACATCTCTTGCCCAGCCCTTCTCTCAGGTTCCTACTCTAGTCTGTCTGCAGCCAGTAGCCAGGGTGTTTCTAAAACAGCAAGATCTGCATGTGGTGTTCAAAGATACAAAAAGGCCAGCCTCTGTCTCTTCTGCCCTCGGGGCATAGCCCTTTCCTTCTCGAGGTCCTTCTCTCATGCTGTCCTCCCTCCACTTTAATACCCCAGAGCCCCCCCCCCAACTGTGGGTCAGACCCCACATCCCTGCCTCTTGTCCGTTCCTCCCCTTGCTCACTACCCAGGGGTCCCCTCCCACCCCTCAGCGGTCTATCCGAGGGTTTCCTGACTGCCCCACATCCTGCCCTTGCTGCCTTGTTCTTCATTTCACTCCGGCCACATGATTCTATGTTACCCAAATTTTGCTTGTTGTCACCCCAATAGGATACAACCTCCAGTAGAACAAAGCTCAGTTCACTGCTATAACCTGGAGACCAGAAGAGTCCCTGGTATATACAGAGAAGGCCCTCAGTACACACTTGTTGGAATTAATGAACAAGTACCCAGTTTCATACATTAAAAAGGTAATTAAAACAAGCAAATCATATGAATACAACAAATGGGAAGCCCACAATTGCAGCTGCCCCTTTGTCGCTAGCATGAGATCTGAATAATCAACTCCAGGCCTAGAAAATAAGGGGATTAAGACCCCACTGGCCTTAGTTTCTAGCACAATATATATAACAATTATGGGAGTAAGGAAGTTTCCTCCTTTTCCTCCCATTTTTAGTTCCCGAGCCCCTGTCCTCAGGCGATAGTCACTGTTCACCAGGAAGGCCAGGCTGTTAGAACAAGCATCGTCACCCAGCACAAGGGCATCCGATCCTGCAGAGCAGTTACCTCTCTGTGCCTGTTTCCTCATCCACAGAACAGATGACAGCATCAATCTCTGAGAGTACCATGAGGATTAATTCAAATATTTATCAAACACTCAAATGTTTATTAAAATGAGAAAACCAAACTACCTTCAGCCCCACTGTAAGATGTCAATAGCACTTGCTTTTCCTACAGTTGGACACTCACCATCCACTGTGTTGTTCATTCCGTCATCACCTGGGAACTCACAGAAGTCCAGACTGCACCAGAGGAGCAGCACACCCACCTGCCTGTCCTCCATGTGCCACGGAAGCAACAAAGCACTGTGCACAATTCCAACACGGGAATGTTGAGAATGGGACTCCTGCCTCCCCCAAGGGGTACCTACATGTCTCCCGGGGTTTATTTCTGCTTTCCACAAAATAGGACCACACCTTGCATGTTGGTCCTCAGTCTGCACGTTCCCTCAGTGTCACCCACAGGGTCTGTTCGCACAGACGGCTGAGCGCTGCCTTCAGGGCTAGCACCACCACATGGAGGACTTCCTTCCTTAGTATCCTATTCTCAAAGTTTCCAATTAAAGACAACAATCGTCTCCACGGCACAGGCGCCATCCATAAACCTCAGGCTCCAAGGGCACAGAGGGCATCTAAAGCAACGCAAGGCACTGTCAGGCCACCTGCTGACAGCCTCTGACCAACAGCATGTGAGAGTGTCCCGGCCATCAGTGGACACTGCCACTAACCCCACCCCCTTGACAGGTGAAAATGGTATCTCTGTTTGCATCTAAGCGTGAACTTCTCATACGTGTATGAGTCATAAAACACATTTAAAAGCTACCCAGGTAGTCTGGTAACTTTCTGTTTTTCAATCTGAGTTATGATTACATGGGTGAGTTCCTATTAGTGAAAATTCATCGAGTTACACATGTATGAAACATACACTCTTCTGTATATGTAGTATATACTTCAATAGAGAGTTTTTTTTTTTTAAATAAAAAAAGCCATCTGTAGATGGATACAGAAATTGGTAAAATGTTGATAACATGCCAGGGGGTTCACAGAACATTTCCTATACTTTTGGGTTAACAATGGTGTATTTCTTTACCTGGGCAGCCATGTTATAATTATAACCGATTTTTCTATGTAGGTTACATTCGAAGCAAAATATATCAAAACGGTGTTTGAGTTCTCTACGGAGTTCCATTAGTGATGAAATCCTTGCTCCCCTTTAGGGAATGTGAATGGCCACTGCTTGACTTTTCTAAGCTAGAAATAAAAAACAGTGGGATAGGGACTTCCCCGGCAGTCCAGTGGTTACGACTCCATGCTTCTACTGCAGGGGGCCCAGGTTGGATCCCTGGTCAGGGAACTAAGGTCCCACATGCCACACAACCAAAAAGAAATAAAATAAATTAATAAAATAAACAAAGCTTAATTACAGAGACTAGGTAGCCCAGCCCACCCTACCCAACATGTTAAAAAAAATAGTGGGATAATTTTAATTAATTGTTTCACAAAAGTAAAAAGAGCAGCAAAACATTAAAACAGCAGACAAAGCAAGATGAGTGTCAGATCTCTGTCTCCCCCACACCACCACGAAGAGGCTGTTACGTCTGGGCACGCTGGTCCTCGTTCCCATGAAGCACTTCAGGTCATGGAAAGGGTTTAAGAGCCTAAAAGATACTATACTGATTAGGGAAACTAAGAGCATGCTGCCCGGGTCTCACGCTGCGTCGTACCATCACAATGCCTAACACCGTGTGCTCTTTAAAAATACTTAACTGATCCTGAAAGATTTGTAATAAAGCTCAGTATAAAAACATGCATGTTTATGAGAACTCTGAGAAATATGACAAAATAACAGAGAAAAGGGAAAGATTTTAAAATGAACAATAAGAAAAACCAGACAGCAGAAAGCAGAACGGCAAACCCCTAAGCAAAAAATGACCAGGTACTGAGCACCTCTGAGAAGCCGTACAACTTGAGCCACAAATCAAAACTGAAGCAACACAACAGCTGATGGCTTCAATCTTAGGCAAGGACCCTGATAAAAACTAAGTTTCTTTTACTTGAATAAACATTAACAATTTTAATATGGATTCAGAGTTGCAAATATCCTTTTCTTCACCTCTCTCTTAGTCTCCTATACTTGGTGACAGGCATTTTTCTTGTTGGAATGGAAACTCTTACAAATGAGATATGCAAGCCAATGGCTTGGGTCTAGAGCTCTGAATTTTCAGATTCACAAAGAAGCTCTAAGGATTCTGAAGACCTGTTATTTATTTATTTATTTTTTGCGGGGGCTGCATTGGGTCTTCGCTGCTGTGCCCGGGCTTTCTTTAGTTGTGGTGAGCAGGGATCACTCTTCGTTGCGGTGCGCGGGCTTCTGCGGCATGTGGGATCTTCCCAGACCAGGGCTCGAACCCGTGTCCCCTGCATTGGTAGGCGGATTCTTAAGCACTGTGCAACCAGGGAAGTCCGTGAAGACCTATTCTTTATATATCGATACAAAGCCAGGCCTTACTGCAAATACTTCAACACTGACATCATACAGCTATAGGCAGAAATAAGCCTCCAACCAAACGGAAAGTCAAATTTAGTGATATCTCTATGCAAAGCAAGTTCAAACAATTAACCAATTAGGCAAACTATTCCCTACAACCAAGTCCAACTGGGCCACTTCAGAGGTGTAGCTGGCCTCAGGAAGAGGTTGGCTCCCATACCCTTTACCCCACAGAGGACGAGACAGGCAGGAACAGTGGTCTGGCCCCACAGCACCACTCGGAAAGGTGAGTGCAGCAGAGCAGCCTTCCACCTCAGCATCCACAGTGACGGCAGGCCCCAGGGTAGGACGGCCACCATGTCCCCCAGCCTCCTGTCATGCTTCTCTGCCGTGGCACAGATTACTCAAGACACACTTCCTGAGTTGGAAAAATCTCCCCACAAGTGGGCTCCATTTCTACCTACTTAAAACAACACGTCTGAATGCGATTCAGACAGTCATTATAAGGATAACTCTGGAGTCCCTCAGTTTTTAAAGAGTATTTTAGAAAGTTTAATGGGACAAGGCCTGCAGATGCCACCCTCATAGGGTGGGTGGATGGTAGAAGCTGGACCCAGAGCTTTGCTGTGAGCCACAGAGATCTTGGGCCGTACGTAGAACAGCAGGGTTCAGCCTATGCTGGCTGTCAGGACACTCAGTGCTGTGCTCTAGGAACATGGTAGGGAGATACTGTTCTGTGTGAATATTGTTATATCTAGGATGGGACAAATCTTCTTCCCAGGAGAGAAGAAATCCAGAGTACAGAGTATGGTGTCACCACGAACCACAGCTTCTTGGGTCACAGTCTGGATGCCCAGTGATGGGACGGTGTGTAGGTTTAACAGACATCAACTGTGTTGGGTGAATGTGAGGGCACAGATGTCAGGGTCACTTGTGTGAATGTGGCCATGACCCTGTCCTGTGAGCTCCAGAACTGGGGTTGTACTTCCCTGCTTAGCCCGAGGCTATCAGGGAC